TGACCTTACTCTACAATCTGCAGGACCCATTTTGAGATATTTGGTAGAAGTTTCCACGCTACCAGAAAATCTACTAAGGGAACCAGCCTCTCGAGGTGCCCTGAAGCGGATGACCGGCAGGAAACGACCGACCTGACTGCTGTAGCACCCTCACTTGAGGGGGCGAGCTCTCCCGTGCTGTACCGTTGCCGGGCGGCAGCTGGGAATTTTGCTCGTCGGAGCTCACTGAGCCCTGAAGCACCGAGGTGGCAGGGGTATCAATGAACCTCCGTGAGGGCACTGAGGGAACAACCGACCTGACTGCTTTAGCACCCTCACTTGAGGGGGCGAGCTCTCCTGTGCCGTACTGTTGCCGTGCGGCAGCTGGGAATTTCGCTCGTCGGAGCTCACTGAGCCCTGAAGCACCGAGGGTGGCAGGGGTATCAATGAACCTCCGTGAGGGGACTGAGGAGGATTGGGCACCGTATACTGAGGTGTTATCTTTTCCTCCCCAGGTGGAGCTGCCCTCAGGGACGTGACAATGGTAGGACCATTTAGCCGAGGTTCTCTTAGACAAAATAACGGTCACTTTTAGGACAAGTGTCCTGTTTCTCGGCTGGCCAAACGATATTTTATTTTGGCGACTGCACGAATCACACCCCATAGTGAGAGTAACTCGCAGTGATGACAATCAGCTCCTCGAAAGCTGACTGTGCATGCTCCGCTCCTAAACAAACAACACACAGATCGTGTGTATCCCCCGCTGCCAGATAGTGGGGGCAGGGAGGCACACAACGTCTGCAATGCTGTTTGCTCGCCATAGATATTAGTTTAGACATTGATATATTCTTTTGAATGTTTGTGGACTGACAGACAACAGTAAATAGACTGACACATACACAGAGCGCTACTGAAGAGCAGATGCTAACTTGCGCTCAGCCGGATGCGCTTTTATACTTCCTGGTGCTCACGTCACCCCGCTCGTGACGTCTCGCTGCTCTATTGGACTGATTTTACACGTGCTTCCGAACGCGGTCACGCAGGGGCGTTCCCAAAGCGATCTCGATGCAGCTCGAGTTCCTGAAGGGGAACTAGAGCAAATACCTGCACATATAGAGAGATAATACATGACAGTAAATAGACTGACACATACACAGAGCGCTACTGAAGAGCAGATGCTAACTTGCGCTCAGCCGGATGCGCTTTTATACTTCCTGGTGCTCACGTCACCCCGCTCGTGACGTCTCGCTGCTCTATTGGACTGATTTTACACGTGCTTCCGAACGCGGTCACGCAGGGGCGTTCCCAAAGCGATCTCGATGCAGCTCGAGTTCCTGAAGGGGAACTAGAGCAAATACCTGCACATATAGAGAGATAATACATGATTTCAAGCCTGCACTCTCCCACACATGAACACACACACAGTCGTAAATGTCAGTGATGGTACTGCTCTCCACTGCAGACTAATGAAGCGACTTATTTTCTTCAGACAAACAAAAGCCCTGCCATTAATGACATCAGATAACAAAATAAATGTACTTTCATCTTCTGTTCTGAAAAGATTTCAAGTTAAATCAAAACTGACCCTCATTTGCTTCCTAAATACATGTTAGTGGTCTTATTGTGAAAGATTCATCTGCACATCTTCTAGAAAATGTCTGTCTTTGTCAATCAAAACATAAATCGCTCCATCTCTGAAATTACTTTTTTTTGTCTGTTACACCACCAAGACCCCTTATTTCTCCTCTAAACACATATCATAGAGAGATTTTTTTTTGCCATCCAGTCCATCCAAACCAAGCCTTCCCTGTCGAATTAGTGTGATTAAGTCGATCATAACTACCTTTGGTGTGAAGAAAGAAGAAAAAGATATCAGCCAGTGACAACAATAATTTAGTGTGACATCAATCAATCAATCAATCAATCAAAATTTTTGTCAATGAAAATTTGTTGCACTTAAATAAGATTAGACAGGCATACTTTCATCTTCTGTTCTGAAAAGATTTCAAGTTAAATCAAAACTGACCCTCATTTGCTTCCTAAATACATGTTAGTGGTCTTATTGTGAAAGATTCATCTGCACATCTTCTAGAAAATGTCTGTCTTTGTCAATCAAAACATAAATCGCTCCATCTCTGAAATTACTTTTTTTTGTCTGTTACACCACCAAGACCCCTTATTTCTCCTCTAAACACATATCATAGAGAGATTTTTTTTGCCATCCAGTCCATCCAAACCAAGCCTTCCTGTCGAAATTAGTGTGATTAAGTCGATCATAACTACCTTTGGTGTGAAGAAAGAAGAAAAAGATATCAGCCAGTGACAACAATAATTTAGTGTGACATCAATCAATCAATCAATCAATCAAAATTTTTGTCAATGAAAATTTGTTGCACTTAAATAAGATTAGACAGGCAGATAGACTGACAGACAGACAGATGATAGACAGATAGATAGATAGACAGACAGATAGACAGACAGACAAACAGATAGCTAGATAGATAGACAGACAGACAGACAGACATAGATAGATACAGATATAGATACCTTTGGTGTGAAGAAAGAAGAAAAAGATATCAGCCAGTGACAACAATAATTTAGTGTGACATCAATCAATCAATCAATCAATCAAAATTTTTGTCAATGAAAATTTGTTGCACTTAAATAAGATTAGACAGGCAGATAGACTGACAGACAGACAGATGATAGACAGATAGATAGATAGACAGACAGATAGACAGATAGACAGACAGACAGACATAGATAGATACAGATATAGATATATAGATAGATAGATAGATAGATAGATATGAAATGACAGACAGATAGATAGACAGACAAACAGACAGACAGATAGATAGACAGAAAGACAGACAGACAGATGATAGATAGATATATAGACAGACAAGACAGACAGATAGATAGATAGATAGATAGATAGATAGATAGATAGATAGATAGATAGAATGACAGACAGATAGACATAGATAGATGGATAGACAGAACGACAGATAGATAGACCAACAGACAGACAGGCAGACAGACAGATAGACATAGATAGATAGATGGACAGATAGAAAGATATATATATATATATATATATACATATATATATATATATAGATAGATAGATAGACTGATGTTATATCTATCTATCAATAGTATGTGCCTGTGCCCATAGACTGACATTGCGTCTTCCTGCTTTTCAGCATCTTGTGCCATTTTTTAAAGGTGCCATGTGAAGTCAAAAGTAGTTCAGCTTTGAAAAACACCCCCCTGGGAGCCCTGATTTGTGTTCCATTCTGCTGTGCTCCATCTATCTGTCTTTGAACACAAGAACACGTCCTGTGTGAGCAGCTTCTGCTCTCAGTAAATGTGCTTTACATGGTGCCTGTAGCTCAGGTGGGACTATGCTGACTGCAGACTCAAAAAACACAAAACAACAACAAAATACCCCTCCCTCTCTCTCTCTCTCTCTCTCTCTCTCTCTCTCTCTCTCTCACACACACACACACACACACACACACACACACACACATATGGGAACCTTTAATGATGCTAAATTGTTTTTGTTATTTCAGTGCTGATGTGGATGCTACGAATCGAAGAATTGATTGGTATATTTGTGTGCCTGGCCCGTCTGAGAGAGAGAAAGAGAGCGACACACTTGAATGTTCAGTCTCATTAGTCTTCTTGAGCCCAAACTCATCCTTACACAGCACATTTCTACTAGACCCGACCCAGTAACCCACTCTGGTTCTGCTGCAAGCTCACCACACCAGACTGATTTAGCACATCCTGCCCACACTCACCTTTCTTGTCCCCAAAGAAGAGGGTCTGTTGTGCTGGATTTGACCACTGGAGGGAGGTGTTATCATTATAATCCACTCTGCAGGTCATGTTAGCCGTGCTGCCCTCGACTACCGTCACATTCTGGGTGATGGGGAACTGAGCCTGGCTACCTGCAGAGAGACAGACAAAGAGAGAGAGAGACGAGTATAAACAAACCACTGTTGCAAAGGAAAGAGGACAGAGGAGGAGAGAAAGCACTCAGGCACTAGTGGGAAAACCGTTCTCAATATAATGACTCAGAATCACGCCGTAGGGTCGTCATGAGGGTTGTATTATTAACTGCAGGGCCGTTTCTAGCCAATTTGATGCCCTAGGCGAAAATCCCTATTGCCCCCCCCCCCAATTATATATATATATATATATTTTCAGACACCAGTTACTTGTCACATTCAAATTTGTTGTCATAGTAACAACACTAATTTGTGGAGATTCAGTGCATTGAGTTCCACAAATCTGAATGCATTATTTGTAAATTGACTGTTAAGATAAACATTTTGCACAATTTAGTATCTGTAATATCATTGTGTTGCCACTAGATGCCTGTATAGCCCTATTTAACAATCCCTAGGGGCTAAGACATTGCACATAATTTACACATAAATCACACATAAATTAATTTTATTACATTTTGATTTGGATACTATATACTATACTACTACATATTGTTTAGATATTATCAATGGCTACTTTCTTGTCTTTATCTGTTTTTTGTTAAATTTTTTGTGGTTGTTTCTTGAAACATTGATTTAAAGTGTCAGTTATTGCATTATTATTTCAATCAAACCTATAAAACCCCTTTGTTACCCCAAACTACATATAAAAGCTTTATCAGTGGCATAAAAGTAACCAATGCAGCTACTTAATCATTTGCTACTCATT